GCGCGCTCCGCTCTTCGAGAGAACGGCCGGCCAGGCTTAGGCGAGGGCAGCTAGGCCGACTGTGAAGCCGGGGGCTCGCGTAGATGTCTTCGCCGGGGGAGGCGCGCGTCGCGCCGGCCCCGGAAGGGGATCTGCCCCCCGAGTGGGAGACGGATGAAGAGCGCATGGCCTTTCTGTTCTCGGCTTTCAAACAGAGCCGGGAGGTTAACGCCACCGAATGGGACAGCAAGATGGGCTTTTGGAGCGAGCTGGTGTTGAAATGCGGGCGACGGAGAGGAGGGATCCGCACCTGCCTGCGCGAGCTCCAGCAGGCCTTCGAGCGCCGGGGAAGCGTCCCCCTGGGACTGGGCACCGTGCTCCGCGAGTTGCTCAGGTGAGGCCGGCGGGGCCGCTCAGCCTCGGCGGGGGGAGGGGGCGAGGCGCCCTTCCGGGGTCAGAGTGCCTCTGAGTACATGCCGAGTGCCCTAGCGCCACTGCCCAGGGCCTCGCGCGGGCAGGGGGTCGTTTTCCGCAGAGCAGCGGCTTTTTCCAGGAAGGGAAGAAGGGGAGGCTTATTTAATATCATATCACTATAAGATATACCATTATTTCTTAAAATGTGGTCCGAGGACCCCTGCCCCCCCCCCCAAGATCCTCTCAGGGGTCCGCGGAATCAAAATGACTTGCCGAATATGGAAGAGATTTGCGAAAGTTTAAAACAATGTCACTCTTCTCGCTGTTTTTTATTTTTTCACGAAAAATATTTTATGTTAACATCTAATGGGTTTAATATTGTTATTTTGACATGATCCAATAAATCCATATTCTACAAATGCGTATTAATTTAAGTTTGGTCTAGGGGTGAAGGTGACTTTGGGCCAGTCCCTCTGGCTCATCCCAACCCAGCTCACAGGGCTGTTGTTGTGGGGAAAATAGGAGGAGGAAGGAGGATTAAGTGTGTTCGCTGCCTTGAGTTATTTATTAAAAATAATAAAGGGATAAAAAATCTTATATACACATATACTGTACATATATACACATAGATAGATAGATAAATATAACCCATACCAACAAAAGCTCTTGTTTGTTTTTGAAAGTTTACCCTCAAACTCTTAACTTTCATTTAACGTAATGGTCATCTGTAATTTTATAGGTGCAGTTAAGAACTTCTTTCCTCAAATAATATCTAAATTCAGTTTTGTTTGTTTGTAAATGAAAACAACCAAGTCGGTCTATCCAATTGTGTGTTTAATGTTTGAAGAATCTGCCAAGCTCTGGTTTTTGTTGGAAGAAAGATGACAGATTGAGTGGCAATACAATTCCCCCCCCCCCCTTGGATTCTGTGTTCTCTTTTTCCTCTGCTAACTGGGATTGTTAATTGTTCTGATGAATGTCTTATACAGTATTCTCTGTTGGGTTCTAATGTGACAGCTTTAAAGTGCTCCACACTTGGTTACTGTATTTAATGTAGTTATTGCACTGTTGGTCCACCTTTTAGGACAATTCATCCAAACACAATTTATGAACACAATGCAACACAACTGAACTCCTTAAAAACAGCACAGTGAACTTATGTAGAAGACCAGCAGTGTAATCAAGTAAAAAGTTTTGAAAGTTTCTTTAAAAAAAAAATTAGGGAAGTTTTTAAAAGGCTGTAAGAAAGGGAAATGAATGTTTCAGAATAGCTGCAACAGGATTACATATGAGAGTTCCACGTGTGGAAAAAGATAATGAAGGAAGTGAGTCAGCTAAAATATAGCCCTAAATCATGTTTTTTTTCTCGGACAGTGCTTTGTGGTATGGAAGTTGAGAAGGAAAAATAAGAATCCAGACAAATTATCTTTGATCCTGCACATTTGCATGGATGAAGTTCTTTAAACATAGCTAAACTCTTTGAATATTAAAACATTTCTCTCTTCCCCTTCCAGATTCTCATGTATATTAAGGAAAAACAACAGTTCATTGCTTATGTGTGCTCTCAGATGAGCAATAGAAAGCTTTGATTAGAAATGTGGATTCCTAAAATTGATCTATAGATTTTTTTTTCTTACTGCAGCCTTTAGGCCAGTGTTGACCAAACTTGGCCACTTTAAGATGAGTGGACTTCAACTCCCAGAATTCCCCAG